CATGGCGGAGCATAAGAGAGGTCCTGAATTTGTTTGCATTAGTCCGCCACATGACCGAGAAATTGATTTTGGTTCAAAATCCCCTGACGAATATTCGGTGATCCACCGTTTTGTTCAAATTTTATTGTCAATGCTTGGTAACGTTCAAGCGGAATGTGGGGTTTGCCTTCATCCTGATTGCTGTCAGTCGATATGCGAGCATTTTATGACAAGTTAAGTAACGCACAATAAATACAAACGGCCAGATTTCCGATCCCATCTTCACACGCCTGAAGAGGTGGACACTGTAAGTCGGTTACAACGCAGGATTAAAAAGGGCGAAGGGATACAACATCAGCCCAGTCAACTTTACGCACATCCCGTTTACGACCTTTCAATATGTCACAGTATCCGGCTTTTTGAAATACTGCTAGCTCCACGGTCTCCTAAGAATCTAAACAAAAGCTCGGCCGAAATCTGGGAAATGCCCAACTATCTGCTTGCACCGCGTTGAGCGTATTTTCTCTTCTAGGCGTCACTAACACAAGCGAAGCGGCCTTCCTGGCCACGACAAAAAGTTGCTTATCACCACAGCCGTAAGCAAGATGACTTCACAGTTGGCACATCACTCATGGTTAAGTTACGTGTCTACGGAATTCAAATTTGATATGGCCGAACAACGGATATATGTAGGAGTCTGTCATGGGTTCCGACCTTGCGCCGCTACACTAAAAAGCCCGAAACGAAATGGCAAACGATTGATTACTTCTGATGGTAAGCTAAAACTTACTGACAGCTCCACGTGCTTCATCAACTTGAGGGCCCAACATCGTGTGGTCTGATCCCCGGAAATGTTTTTATTGCTGGTTTGGCTTTCCGCGGACCGAATAAAATAACTGGTAGCTGGAGTTTTCGGTAATGCACAAGCCGCAATTATGATTGTTGTTGACCCGAAATCCTGGAGATCAGGTAGCAAGAAAACGCTGTGTCGTGGTTAACTTCTCAGTTCCGGGGAGGTCGATCTGTTCCTTCACACCACGAAGCATTCTTGTGCCTTCCAGTCATCCTCCACAAATACCTGGAGGTTCTGAGCCTGGCCATTAATTCAGGAAGTAAATAATGGGGCATTGTTTTTGCCTGTCTAAAACTGCTTGTTTGGATTTGTCCTAGATGTGAAAATACAGACAAGTAAAGACGATCCCTTGGTACTATTTAAATACCTTGCCACCCTCATGACTCACATCGACGTGCAAGTTGTTGCTACCTTGGTGAGGTGGCACACACCAAGTTCACTTTATCGGTAAGACATAACACTCACTGTCGCTCCTCTTGCTTTCAAAAGCGTTCAAACACAAGTTTACTGCAATCTAATGTTCCTTCAATAATAGCATTCGCAACTATCGCTCATGTCATGAGCTAACAGCATTGTTACGGCGACTGATGAGCCAAACCCTTACTCAGTAGTTCAATTGACGTAGCAACTTCCAGTTTAACTACGGTCCTTATCCATCATTTCGGAAGAGCTCTGTCAGTAACTCATAATCTCTTTACTGTCCTTCTTTACATCAGGTGCCCCACTGGCCACAGTGCGCAGCAGCGCTAAAGAAAATGTCAACTTGAATGCACACTTAGCCGCAAAACTTACTGGTAGGCTCTGTATTTTCCACAACAATGTGTTGTGTAATAGGCTGGGATGCAGGCGAGAGTTACATTTCCGGAGGAACCCATGTTGCTTCTGACCAGTAACAAGCCCCGTGGGGTTCCATTCAGTTATAGTTCCGGTTGTTGCCAAGGGGGCGCCAGCAATACCTCAGATGTAAAATTTGGGGCTGAAGAGCATTCCTGGTCTGCTATTATTTCTCCGGTTTACGGACGATGAGCCACAATCCAGACCACGTTCGGCGGTGCACTTGTTACTTAAAAAATCATTCAGGAATATACATTTCCGAAACCTTTGCAACAATGCACCCTTTACTTCAGTCCATAACGTAGATGGACATCGTTGCAGGGTAGACGTGGGAGCCCTCAAAACGTATCAAACAATCAAACATGAAAGGTCTTGGACCATTCCTTGTTATCAACGGCCACTGAAGCACGTACGCAGTGCTCGCTATCCCTGCGTCACTTCCAGGCCAAAGTGAATGGGTAGGCCTTCATGGACAGATATTTTACATGGTCAGAAGGATGAACTCTGGGCTGCACCTGATAACTAACTATATATGGTGAGCAAAAGGAAGTAGTTGTAGGAGAGGACTTAATGAGCTCTGCAATTATTGCATTTATCATGCCGGTGGTCCTGCATCAGCCTTCGACATACCTTTCATAAAGCCGAGGTTTTGACGCCATCCAAGCGCAGTTGCGGCTAGCTAAAGGAGCAGATTTTTGGTGACCGTGGTTGCACGCGAGAAGCCCGTAAAACTGCGTTAGTTACCGTGTGCTTCTGTGTCCAGCTTGAAGAAGCGGATTCACATATATACCGCCTGGAACTTCGAGCATCATGCAACTTTGATTCGGAGATACCACATAATGAAAATTCTGCATTTGTGGAGACCTGAAATTCCTGCAGTGAATAATTTAGTTGACGCCTAGAAGCAGGCGAAAATATATAGTGCACCATGTGCATGGTTTAAGGCAGGAAGTCAATAAGTTTGCTCTCTCTGCCAAATGGGACCAAGCTTAGCTCAGTCTTCAGGACAATCGTCAACTCTTGCACAAGAAGAACCCATTCTGTGCGTTGGGATCGGACAAGGTCCATCCAAGGATCTTGAGGGAAACGTCGTTCACACTGGAAGAACATTTCTGCCTGGTGTTTCGTCGTGCTTGACGAAGGCCACCTCTTCTCTGCTTGGAAAGAAGGGATTGTCACGCCAATCTACAAAAGCATCGTTCGATCATCGTTTGACAGCTATAGGCCCATTAGCCTCACTATCGTACGATGGCGACGGAATGCATTCTGAAGTGGGTCATCTTAAATCACATCACGGATTCCTCCCATATCGTACCAACATGCTCTTGTTGGTGGACAGATTGACCCAAGCTTAGAAAAAGGGACTCACACCGGATGTCATAAAATTTGACTCCCTAAGGCAACCAATGGCACTGCTGCTCAGCAAACTCGAGCTTTACGGGCTTCAAGGGGAAATTGCACGCTGCATTAAAGCGTTCGTATCAGACGGAACATTCCGAGTGAAAGCAGGGTTGACCTACTCTTCTCTTGCGGCGGTCTCATTTGGAGTTTCCGAAGGCAGTGCTTTAGGACCACCTCTGTTTCTGATCAACGCCAACGACCTTCCAGACGTTTTTCAAGTTAATGTCCACTTTTGGCAGACGGTTTGGAATTCTGGAGTTCAAACGCCAGTGCCCATTAATGGATGTAGACGCTGCAAAACAGCTGTCGTTGGACCGGCACCTTCATCTGAGGGATGAAAAGTGCGTCCAAATGTTATCCGGAGTCGACTCAGCTAACGCCTTTGTCGCATATGATGAGGGTTGATCAGACGACACCACGAGGATGGATGCCATAAAAGAATTTGGGTATCTGGGTCTCTCCAAATATGTACCGTTCATTGCATAATGTGGAATTGGCTCAAAAGGCATTCGCCCTTCTACAGACGACTCGGCACACCTTCTCCGGTACTACTCGCGTGGGATTCTGAATACTCTATGAAGTTTGCGTCAGACCGCTTCTTGAATATGCCAACCAAATTGTTTACTCAGTACTCAACGCTCATTGAGCGTGTCTAACGAGTTGCCACGAAAATGGTCTCCGGGTTAAGTCCGCTGTCGATGAAACGCATCTCGGGGTGCTTGACCTCTTTCCCCTGAAAAATGGCGGACTCCGAGGAGAACTAATACTTACTTATGCCCTGTTTGAACAAGGTTTGGCCAACAGGTCTTTCACCGTTTATCCAGCTCGCACACGGCGGGGACATGGTAATATTTTCAAGCGTAGAGCATACACTTTCATCAAGACACATTTTCTCATTTCGGTTAGTTTCTCCATCGAACAATCTCCCTCGGATGGTTGTCCACGCTACATCTAGTACTTAGTTGAAGGTATTATTAGCCACCTTTGATGCGAATCCGCGCGCAACCCCGTACTGAAAACTTAGAGTGCAGTGCAACACACATTTTCGCCTGTGACTTTCAGATGAACGCCACCCGCTTAGCGACAAGAATAAACCCGTCTCGGGGTGTTTGTGAATAAACCTTGATCCTTAGTAGCAATCCACGAAACCGTCAATCTTCAGTGTATAACATTCTCGGGAAGATGAGTCATCTTTTCATTGGTACCGTAAAGGGATTATCAGTGTAGCGGCAGCACCCAACTTTCCGAATTGTGTGGACGAATTGTTTGGAACTTGGTGGTTTTGGAGTCACGTGAGAACTTGAAAAATAATCCGTAGCCACGGGGTACTATGCAAGAGAATTCCTTATTGGGGCAACAATATGGGTCTACTCGACTCCAAGTTACTACACGTCAGCAGCGTTGCAGAGACCATCGTAGGGCGCTAATGGGGGAGACAAACGGGGTAACGTTCCCTGCGTTGAGTTCATGGTTGCTGACAGGGCTGCAGTTTTGCTCGATGGATACATAAACACGCGTTGGATCGCGCGACAAACTCATGTTAGTCAGATAGGCCTTAATTTAAATTACGTTAGTGAACAGTTTCCAATCGCAGGTATAGGCAGACCCTGGAAAACCACTCAGAGAAATGAAACAAGAAACCGTGAAAAAACTCACGAATAATATGTATCTACACCTCACTGTCCGTGGAACAAAATCTTAGTACCCTAGACATAATTTTCGTCCTCCGGATACCGATCGACGGGAGGATTTTTTCTTTGCTTGTGCTACTCACCTGAGAACTGCAACCGGGAATGATTACTGAACCAAGGTAGTTAGTATATGTAACTACTGAGCTCACTGGTCCTGCTGATTCCTGTGCGGCCGTAATTTTGTTTGCCTGCATAGGTGCAGAATTGCTCTAAGTCGCGCGAGGCTTGATAATATTGGCGGTTGCCGCTCTGCGCCATGCTTGTGGCGGAATGTAAGTGCTGGCAGCAAAAGGAGGGAGTTCTTCCTTACATTTGCTTTTGTTCCACATCTATAAAAATCATGTCTTTGGACTCAAGTTATCTGGAAGGATGTGTACTCTCGCAGGGATTAACTTGGTCCATTACTAGGTCCGTCCTCTTTAAACGCAATCCTGAATGTCGCTTGGTGCGCCAAAATTCTAACATACAAAACGCTCTTTTAACTGATTTGTGTCTTATACGATTGCACTGCATGATGACGGCGACCGGTTTCTCGCTTCACTGGAGAAGCAGAGTGGAGACAGTAATGACAATCCTCATACCACACGGGCGGTCCTTGAAACACAAAAGATTCCTTGCAACTTTGCTTTCCGAAAGGTCCTTTGATGGCTGTACTGTATATCCTGGAAAGGTAAGAATGGGCTTCTGAACCGAGCAGAGCTGGAAGAAGCCGAGGCGAGTTAAACGTTAACGTTTGACTGCAAGATGCCAGTCCGTGGTCTGACAACAGGGTCATACTGCCGGTTAGATTGACATTCACAGGGAAACAAAGCCGGATACTTGTATTATGGTCTACCACTTGCCTTAACCTGACAGACCTTTGAGGGAAGGTGGGATGCGTAAATGAAATGGCTTAAGACAATAAACGAGTTACTGGAAAAAATCAAGACCGCAGTCAAGGTACCAGTCATTCATGTTGAGAAGGCTAAAGGGGCTCACTCGTGCCACAGGTTGAGGTACGAAGCTGCTGACCGTAATGTCCATGGTTCGAACCCAACCCCGTTGTTTTAACTCCCCTGTATACTTCAACAATCTGGTGGTATCTTCTCTCTCATAGTCTCCTCAAGTTGTACGGCAGGTGCGCATCGAATGAATGCTACCGCTGAATGATGGGGTGAGGGTATATTGTTAGTGAATTGCTACGAGATCGAATGACACCGGTTGCTCAGCCCGAAGTAGAGGGTTTGGTTAGGGTACCATACCTTGGGCCTTTGACTGAAAAATGACTCATAAGATAGTGGGAGGGGGGTTGTAGTTTTTTTGCAGATCTACCACCTAGCCTCTGACCAAAAAACGCAACCATGAGTGTGGTTGTTGTAGTCTTCTCGAGGAAGCCACAACGTAGAACGCTTTGCTGTATGGGGATGGGCTGGCTCGAGGGTGCAGGGAGTAAGGCAGAACTGCATGACAATTCATTCAGCTGCGCACAGCTGGTGACTTTTGAGCAGCAGCAGATCATTTTATTTCGATCGTATTGAACGGTGCGCTGTCGCGTCCAGTGCTTCTCTACATCTCGGATGCTTTCCCATTGTTCGATGACGGAAACTGTAGCAGCGGGAACCACGATACCTCCGGTGCATCGTTAATTGGTAATGAGTTGAACTGGGAATGAAGAAACTGATGTTGCGCCGAAAGAACGTTTGGGTGCTGTCGGTTCTACTCGCCTTCTAGGATTCCAACTGCACCTGGTTGGAGACGTTGATAGATCTGGCTGCTTGTCGATGTCAGTGGCTTCCATGTTGTCATTTTCTATCCAGATTGCTGTGTTTGAAGGTATAGGCACTTTGGAGTGATGGTTGTCCCTTCCCTGTTCACCTTTATTCTTTTCTCCGCGATAAGGCTTTCAAATGAATCATAATTTCACGGCAGCGAAGCACCACTTATGTCATGTCCATGATGATGATGATAATGATATGGACCTCATTTCCGACACCCTCAGACTACTGAGCCGTCGAGTTAATGTAACATCTTCAGAGTCAACGCTTGTGGGTCACACTTGTGGGTAAGACTCATGGTGGGTTACCTGAAACAGAACCCCTCTCCGGTTATAAAGCCCAATAAAACCCATTTTTTTTTACACAAAAACCAGTGCCTGTTTTTAGCGTCCACATATGCCCAACTGACGGTAGTTCCGTTTCTGAGAAAGTACTTCGTATTGAGATTTATCTTTGCTCACTCTTCAGGCAAGAAGCACTGATAGTGTCATGCTTTTAGGCCATATGGATCTCCGAGGCGGTCTTCCGAGCTCATTGGAATTGCATCTAGGTCGTCAATTATGAGACGACACTCACCGCACAGACAATCGATGATACCCCTCCACTTGTGTGTATGAGTATCCATCTAGTTCAATTACTCTGCGGTAATCCAGCATAGTACTCGTGACGGGCACGCAGATAACGCATGAGTGTAAAAAGAACTATTTTACCGATGTTTAAAGCCGTCTGCCCGAATTCTCCGATATGGTCAAATGACCATTGGATGTCGTCGAGGTCCCTAGTCCTGATTAATGCTAAGGAAGCCATACTGCCATTCAACGAGTATGACGGTACTCGCAAATCCATCAAAGCACGGGTAGAAAACACTGAAGAAAGAGCGAGAGCTGTGGTTACACATTGAAATCTCACGAGATGGAGAACGTTTTTGCCACCGGAAGCAAACATACCCGATACGGCTATATTCGGTCGACGGGCATAATGGAGGTAACTACCAGTGAGGTGATGAGCAATTCATTCGATAACACGCCGATTGTAGCAATGGGTCGAGCAATTCGAAGCCTAGTTTAGCTGGCCTGTTGTAGCGCAGCCCCTGGGGGCATTGCATGCGGACGTCAAATGAAGAATAGAGTCACGAAACGTCCATCTTACAGCTGGAGAAGACACTATCCAGGTGATTAGTATCCAACCCTTTTCAAACAAGACAGAATCTGGATAAAGCCCAGTGGTACCAAATGGAGTAAGGAGAAGTTACCAGCACAATGAGGCACAGTGGCAGCAATAATTTCATCCAAAGAGGGATACATAAACACTGAAAACCACTGTGGCGGGGGCTTGGCGTCCAATGTGCTTTCTTGTCTTATCCTTCGAACGTCCACTGGACAAACGCAGATCCGTTAAAACCAAGTTTGATTCTATTCTGCGAGAGGATCTGTCGATCACACATCCGCTGCAACAGAGTTTAGAACAGCGGCAGCTTACAGCAACCAACGGTAGTCACCTTTTTCTATTTGAAAGCTGCCTTTGGATTTGTTGATCATCGGGCTCTCTAGCGTAGTCTGTGGAGCAAAAATGTCTCCCATAACGTCTGGGTCCTCCTTAAAGTGCTGTACACCAGCTCCTACGAACGCTTAAAGTTCTACGGTAAGTTATTGCGTAGGTTCATGCGTCCATTGGTGTCAGGCCACACTGTCCTCTTTCAACTCGACCTAAAGCTGCCACCTTGGCATGATGGTCGGGCTTGAGTGCAGCCATGATTCCACGGGCCACACTGAATGGAACGTCATTCCACAAAGTGAAGTCATACCAAAAGGGAGCACTCAAACGAAGACTAGCGAGGCCTCGTACTACGAGTAATCGTGCTGCGAGGCGGTCTGGGGGTAAAGTCGTACTGTCCTCTGCGATAGGAGTGTGGGACCAGTAAGGTGTTTCTCCCAGGTGACCAGTATGTCCATATTCATGGAAGCAACGATGCTGTCTCTTTCCGAGGTAGGACAGGTTAGAAAGCGTCGGTCCTAATAACCGCACACTCCGTTCGCCCAACGGTTGACTGTGGCCGTCGGCGCATTACAATACAGTCGAAATGCTTTTACAACGAATCCGGTGCTGCCTCAAAGGCGCCTTCTGCTTGCAGACACTAGGAGTGAGAGTACTGCCTTATCACCTGTGCCGTCGGGTTGAGCTTACCCGCTGCAGCCGAGCAGGTCAGACTATTGACTCGTCGGCTCCGGGCAGGGTCTCCAAAGAAAACTCTATGTCCGCTGCCTCTTGGCTTCGACTTTTGAGTCAGAGGCTAGAGACTGGGTCCACGAGCAAAACGCTACATCATTCCACTGCCTTGTGGGTCAGAGTCAAAGTCTCAAGTCGGAATACCTCAACCAAACCTCCTTCCTTGGCCTGGGAAACCGGGAATTGTCATTTGTCCGAATAGTTCTCTGTCTACCGATGCCTCCCCCAAACTCCTTCCCAGCTGGATCACTTGACTGTCAGTTATATGACCGATGGGCCTTATGCACCCTGCTGCCTAATAACAAAAGGCAAAATAATACCTTGCCAAATCCACGAGATCCTTTCTAGCTCTAACCTTCTTTCGGTGCCTAACTGCTATGCCACCTAAAAAAAGCACGAGGGCTAGGATACTACCAGGTCGCCCAGGCTAAGACAGGGGATTTCGAGAGTCAGAGGTTGGTTTCGAACCGCGGGCCCTCCGATTCACACTCTAACCACTCAGCCATCCCGTCCGCACTCTGTGTCAAATTGGTAAACAGGCAGTGCTCTCTGTGACCTTACACTTTCCTAAGATTCATCATCTTCATCATCGACAGCATGACATCAGTGTTCAACACCGATGCTTTACTGCCGTACAACCATAACTTATTTGAAAGCCTTATTTCAAAGAAAAGAATAAAGGTGGACGGGGGAGGGACTTAGTGCTAGCTTAACACAGACATTCACTCAGGCAATCTGGATAGAAACTGACAACGGATCACGCGGTCCTCATCCTGGAAGGCGAGTAGCACCGACAGCACCCAAGCGTTTCGTTATCTCCTTCATACTCCTCTGCCAGGTCATGGGTTGGCCACCTCTCTGTTTACGCCACTTTGAATTGGGCATGGAAAACAGTACTCTCTTCGGCAAACGATGGTTCGGCATGCGTAAAACATGTCCCAACCAACGCAGCTTCTGGTGCTGGACACATTCTTCAATGGAAGTACCCGTTGCACAACCGAAAACACGCTTTCTAACTGTCACTTTACGGATTCGCCGACACCAACCCACGCGAGCTATGGTTCTGAGACAACGATTGTCGAACGCCTGAAGACGTCTCAGGTCCGCTGCTCGAATAGGCCAAGTCTCACAGCCATACAACAGAACAGCCCGTACTGTAGCTTGATACACACGTCCCTTCAGATTCAGGGATAAACCATTCTGACGCCATGGGTGTCTCAAGTTAGCAAACGCGGCCCGAGCCTTGCAGATTCGTGCATTCACCTCATCTGTCACACTGCAATCAGAACTAATACAACTTCCAAGATACGTAAAACGCTCCACAACTTCCAGTGCCTCTCCCTGGATTGTAAGTGGCGTGTTCAGTGACTGCACGTCCACAAGCATGACCTTACACTTTGTGGGTGCAAATTCATACCAAAGGACGGGATGACTTTGGACAGTTCATGCAAGAATACTTGGGCCTTCTCCTCCTCTTCGAACATGAGAACGATGTCGTCTGCATATTCCAGATCGACAAGGTTTTCTTCACAGGCTATTTGAATACCAGGGTTTTGGAGACCCTCCAGCGTTCGTCTCATTGTTTCATCGATCACAAAGTTAAAAAGGAATGGAGAGAGTGGGCATCCCTGACGGACACCGCTTTGTTTGCGGAAGCGGTTGTGTGTTGATCATGAACTCTTTCTGGTCAGTACGATCAGCACCAACGTTCGAATCATGTAACCTGGCGACCAACTGCAAACCAACCGTTGACTCGGTTGAGTCACGTGGCCTTCAACTACCGGTGGAGAGCCACGATTCAAGACCTCCGTTCCTTCTGGGGCATGAAACTTGATTCCAATCACGCCATAGTGCATGCACCATGGGCACTCGCAAGTCGGCATCCTAGTCCACCTTCGAAAAACTTTCGTAGCTCAACAATACCGATCTGAGCTAACTAAGCACGATGGCGTGCACTTGAATGAAGCATGGCAAAAGGTGAAAGGGGTTACGCTAGTGGCGTTCACTGCTGTCTCTCAGATTTCTCCGATTGGACCACAAAACCACTGGATGTTGTCGAGATCGCTGTCTTTGATTGACACCAGGAAATCCATACCAGCAGACGAGTGTGATACAAATCCCTCAAACGCCGAATAGTGATGAGCCTAAGAAAACACCGAACGTTCTGGTGGACGTCGAAAGCTCGAGAGATGGAAAAGACTTGCTACCGGTAACATCCGTGTCCTATATCAACTGATACGATCGACCGAACATAGGAAAGCAATAGTCAGTGAAACGATGAGTGAAGAAGGCAGCTCATTGATTCACTCACAAAAACGTCGACTGCAAATATAGGCCGGACACATCGAAGAACAGCTTAGCTGGTCTTCTGCAACACAGCCTCTGGAGAGGTTGCATACGGGCGGATAGAATGTAAACCTCATCGCCCGTCGGGAAAGTCATTAAAGTACAAAATATCCGTACCAAAATGCGAGAAGGCACCAAGCACCGAGACGGGAAACATTAATGATTAAAGACATGGACAGATACGGTCCAGTCGTGCATTGACTAGCGCCTATGCATCCAAACATGGCTCCAGTGTACGACTTGCCCTCCCCAGCGGTTAGAGCGACCGGAAGGTTCGTGGTTCAAACCCGACATCTGACTCTCCACTTCCTCTATCTAGGCTTGGACAACCTGGCAGTATTCCAGCCCTCGTGCTTCCTTCAGGTGGCATGTCAGACAGGCATCGAAAGGGTCTTACAGTGGAGCGATTATCTTATTATCCTTTATTCCGACTTCCCCATTCTAAAGTCTGCTTTCGCTCATAGGTCCACGCGTGACGCCTCCACTGCGTAGCTACCCGACTCTCTTCAGATCATCAGCGAATGGAACTGGCTGCTACAGCCACGCTGCAGGATGTGCGCTGATTATTATTATTATTATTATTATTACGGGTAAATGCAAAATGTCAAAAGTAGACGTCACTTCCGCTGGATAGCGAAAGTCTCACCAGTGTTGAGACCCCTCCCTCTGTAATTGCTTAAGAATATCGAAGCCTTCAGCCTGTTGGTAAACTGGCTTGACGCCTCCCAGTTTTGTCCTATTATTCATTGAAGCTAAGACTAACTCGCAGTACCTTTGGTGTAAGGAACTCTTGGTTTCTACTTGCCACCTGACGTCGCTGGCCCCCTTTAGGCCCCAGAAGATATCAATGTCTTGGAATCACTATCTTGTAGGACTAAATTTCAGACAGTGCTAGCGGCTGCCACTCGAATATCTTGAGATTTATCGAAGGGGGATGCCAATGCTGCTTTGTGCCATTTGCCGGCTGATCTACAGACATATCAACTTTCCATGCGGCCTAAAGCTGTTCTAGCTGTCACAGTTTCGTTCTTCGATTATTTGGAGGGCTGGGGTAGATGGTCGCACATTGGAGACAGTAGATGATATAAGTGATGCGTGAGTACATGGTTGTCAGTGGAGTTTTCAAACGGACTTCAGATAGCTGTGCTTGCGTTTCCGCAATCCGACACATTATGGCCTGCTTATCCGTAGAATTGGGACAGACGCCACGAAGTAAAGTGCGCTGGACTGCGAAAATTTTTTTCTTTCGTCTTATGGAAATGTCGCTCATGCCACAAGAGATCAGTTGTATTTCGATTTTACCCGTGTTCTGGACACCTGTCCTGGTAGTTTTCACACACCATTCTGTAATTTTTGATATTAAAAATAGTATAGGCTACCCCAAATCAGGTGGGAATTATTCAAGGTTAGGTGAGCAACATCGTGTGCCAACGGTGAGTCGACAAGCGAACTTCCAGTGGTGTGAGACTGTAAAATACTGGGATGTCTAGAATGGAAGACTCAATACAAAACTCGTCACATCACTCCACATCTAACTTGAACCCCGACCTGTTGCCACCACTCCGAAGTGGCGGCCAGGCCTGAGTGTTTTGGTGGTCCCACGGGTTACACTGACAGGATATGCATTACTCAAGGTTGAAACATACCAATGAAGCTAAAAGTGACTGGTTAGCAACAGATGACAAGCCTCCATACCGCAAAGGCTTTGGAGGGCTCTGGAGGGCGGCAGCACTTTTCGTCACTGCGTGGGTTTACCCTCCAGGTAACCAATGCGTTCGTAAATATGGAAGCAGAGATCTTACCTTCGAGGAAGGCTAGGTCAGGGGATTTCTCGTGAAATTTGATAATTCCAACCGTCCAAACGTTAGCCATGAGATGGAGATCGGCCAACTAAGTTTCCTCTTTCAGATGATCGTTCTCGAACGTCAAGCCTTCCGTTATTCAACTCATTGTGACTGTTTCACTAGATTCTACAATTGACTGTAATTGCCTGATACGCTGAGATGAGCGCAAAGTTTGCTCAAGGTCCGATATCTATTTTCAGTACAGGATGTACACTCGCCTGTCACGATTGTTTTTGATGGAGTGGTACATGAACTCCACTGAGACATCGAAAATCTGCATATCGTGGTATATAAGTGTTGAGTTGTCATGTCTCGTCTTACCCCACCGAATTCTTTGTTTTCGTGCCCTCTGTACAATCGAAAATCACTGCATTCGAAGAATGTCAGGGCGCACCGCACACGTGTCAAAGCGAATAAGCTTATAAATCAGGCCGCGTCTCTGGCTTGCTGAGCGTGACCATTCATAACACGTGCAGAATTAATTCGTCCTTAAGAGGCTAGGTAGCCACCGTAAATTAATTCAGGAATTTGTGAATATCCGTCCATGCTATTGGCCATTTCACTTAAACATCATCTCAGAAGCAGCTACCCTATGCCCAGTTATTACGGTTTTGAAGAACCAGCGCTAACCTACTGTCTGCCTAAGGATGACTTGGCCCAACGTGGTTTATCAATTCTGTCCATTCATTAGTATGAAAACTTACGATCCAATTATCGTTTGCAAGTAATCCATTTGGGCAGCACACGTTCTCGGTTACCCTAGGTTGGTGCGACATTTCAGCTTCGCTTTATGGCTGCCTATCCCGTACCTTACCATTTAGTCTGCTACCTTGCAGACAAATCCTGTCGATGGGATGCGCACATCTACGATATGAAAGGATTCACCCGACCCCATTCTGGGTTATGGCTTTGGTTTAATGCCTCGGTACTTCATGTATGGACACGAAACGCATACCGAATGCTTATGCGAGAATATTGTGACCATTCATCTCTTATTTCTCTGAAAATGAAAATAAGGATATACCGACGTTCATACTTTGCTTGTTTTCGCTCACATGCAGCGCATTTCATCAGGCGTATGCTTTACTTGTCAGTTGGCTTAATTCGAGGTGAATTATGTTTTTTTTGTTCAGCGATGAATTTGTGGCTGACCGACCAACTAGCCTATTGGACATCGGATCCATACACAGCATTTCGCCTCACGACCGCCGTTCTTGCCACATGCACGGCCTACTATTGGTACACCTACCGCTTCCGCACGCGTCACATAAAACCCAGCCCCTTTCTGGAAAAGCAGTCAATTATCCTTAATGATGAAGTAAGTACGTTAACCCAGTAATGCAACGGATTAAACGAGCTACTTAGAATACTTTTTATTTTTATTTCTTGTTAATAAATCCAGAGCGTTTAGTGGTGTACTCATTCCAACTGCTCTAACCATTTTTGCCTCCGGTGCTTGTGGTCTCAATGACTTTTTATTAACTCGTATCCAAGATAGTCCGAGAAGTTACCCTGTTACCCAGCAGCCACAACGGCATATACCGGCCGAGGGAGTTTGCTGTTAGAACAGAACTAAAAATAATACGTACAGGTATGTGCAAACATAAGATGTGACACCCATACATAAATAGTCCCATCGCGAATTTGAGAACAAGCGTACACACTGTTACGTTGCTCCGCACCATAGCACATGCCATTGGGCTGGTAAATGACCGAAATGCAAGCGCTCGCTTATGTTACGCATACCTTCCTTCCGTCGCTTACCGGGCTATGTGTGCATCGTGGAGTGCTTTTTATACGATACTGAGACTCCACTCAATATTTGCAATCCCGGGACTCCTGTTGAGTCCAATAGGAGTATGAAAAGTTTTAAACCATTTCTTAAAACACCGGGGTGTTGTTGTTGGGTCGAAACAGACTCATCGATTAAGATCTTCTCAGATTAAAGGCTAATATGGTCTGCAAGATGTCTTTCTTTCTGAACAGATTACTCATGTTTCATGTGACATGTACTCAGCGATAGAAAGGCAGTGTTCCCTACTCTCTCTAGGCGTACTTTAATTGCAGTTGATCAGTGTTTACTGCGGAATAGCGTGGCACCCTACCACTGAAGATGGAGAGTTCCAATCTCCTTGGACATTCATGAGGTGCGCACATTTGAGTGGGTCCAACAAGGATGAGACAGCTATGCAGTACTTCGGTTTTCAGCGTAAACTTACTTCGCGTGCTAGAGAAAGCCACAAATCAAGTAGGTGCGTGTTGTGCGTCGATTTTTTTTAACAACATCAAATTGGCCTTTCATTCCACTGTCGTAATCTTTTTTTTATTAACGTGAGGCTTCAAGTGTTGCGGCTTGCCAAGTGGACACTCCGGTTGCCTTTTGAGTATATTTCCACAGACGATTCAGTTTCCTCATGTATGGGTGCCACATAGCTCTGGGTGAATCATCCGAAAAACTGTCGTACCGCAATCGTGTTGGACTATCGTTCATTAAGTGGATTTATTTTGAACTGCTTCATTTGTTAGGGTATATTCAGCAATGAAGCCACAACCGCGTTGCGATCTGTGATTATAATTGCGGTCCGGGAACGTTTATAAAATATGCGTTTTTCCCCACTGATATTCCTTATGGTGTACTCTGATACTGATGTTTGCATTCTGGATAACGGACAACGTGGGTAGCAGCAGGTGGCTACCGGTTAATGCTTGTCAGTTTCGTTTTAAGTTCCCATCCTTAGTGTTAACTGTTTGCCACGCAGGTTAGACGTTGGGCATTTTCTCTGGTATGTTTTTATGCGGTGCGTGAGCATATCCAGTTCAAATATAAAGCAGAAGAGCCGAGACAAACCGACTTCATCACACGAAGAGTTTGCAGCATTTTTGCCAGACAAGTTCTTGTTGGTACTCACTATCGGATTCCTTGTGCAACGATTGCCACTGTACACTTATCTGAGACACATTAACTAGCTTAATTGGCGTAAATCTCATCTTCACAAAGCATAAAGCAAATTTTGGACTTCTGTTCAATCAGACCATCTTTCTGTCTCTCCTTCTGAGCACTGTATGTTCAAGGGTAGCGCATCCACCAAAATATTTTGCTTGGCATATGTGCAGGTTAGGGCGAGTTGTTCAATTGTTCAATCGGAATTGTGTTACTCCGTCACGAAGAGACTGGACCTTACCGTGGTGTGACGGTTTGCGCACCTCAGCGATCCATTGAGCTATACTGGAGAGTGTCCCGCGACACT